AGAACAACTGTGTCAACTCTTGAAACTGTGCCTGCAGTCAACCTACTTCACATATGGGGAGCAATATTATAGGCAGAAACATGGGTGTGCTATGGGGTCTCCAGTTTCTCCTATTGTTGCCAACCTGTACATGGAGGAGGTAGAAAAGAGAGCCTTGATGTCCTTTTCAGGGACACCACCAAGTCATTGATTCAGGTATGTTGACGACACCTGGGTTAAAATTAAATCTCAGGAAGTCCAACATTTTACTGATCACATCAACTCTGTGGATAAATACATCAAGTTCACACGAGAAGATGTAAAAAATGGCAAGTTGGCTTTCTTGGACTGTGAGGTCTCAGTCTCTGATAGAGGACATTTGCAAACCGAGGTGTACCACAAACCCACCCACACAGACCAGTATTTGCAGTTTGACTCCCATCACCCTTTGGAGCACAAGTTAGGAGTCATCAGGACTCTGTACCACAGAGCAGACAGCGTCCCCACTAGCTCGGGAACCAGGCAGAAGGAGAAATCCCACACAAGACAGGCTCTAGAGCAATGTGGATATCCTAACTGGGCCTTCCTGAAAGCAGAGAAGAAACCCAAACAGGACTCCAGTCAGCCATCAGGTGAAAAGGAGGAACCCAGACCCAGACCAGTGGTCATTCCGTATGTTGAGGGAGTATCAGAGAAACTGAGACGTTTATTTTCCAAACATAACGTCCCAGTGGCTTTTAAACCCCAAAATACATTACGGCAAAGACTGGTTCATCCCAAAGATCCAGTCGCCCGGCACAAACAGAGTAATATTGTGTATGTTGTTCAGTGTCAGGAGGGTGATCAGTCTTACATCAGGGAAACTAAACAGCCACTGGCCAAAAGGATGGCCCAGCACAGAAGATCAACATCATCAGGCCAGGACTCTGCGGTCTACACTCATCTCCAGGCCAGCGGTCACTCTTTCAGGGATGAAGATGTTCACATCCTGGACAGAGAGGAACGATGGTTTGAGAGAGGAGTAAAGGAGGCCATCTTTGTGAAAATAAATCGTCCATCATTAAACAGGGGCGGAGGCCTCCGGGTTCAACTGTCCCCCTCTTACAATGCTGTGATTGCTAGTATCACTCAGCCCCCTGTGAACAGTAAACAGCCATCAGTGTGCTAATGATCCATTGTTAGGCTGATGGTCCTTCTTGAGCATGTGAGCAGCTGGTTTTGGTTGTCAGCAGCAAAACTGGTTGATCCACTCTGAGAAGGTGCTATTTAAGAGACTGAGCTGAATACAGCACCTCAGACTGAGGAAGTCTCTCGGATGAGAGACGAAACGTTTCTAGATTTTTTTGCTTTGTTTTGTTTTTTGGTTGTTTTTTTGAATGTCCAGAGGACCAGATTGAACTTTTTTGGATTTTTCTACCTGGATTATTGAGCATGCATCAGGATATGTACCGTTTTGTCCTTCAGGAGGAGCAGAGGCTGAATAAAATCAGCATAGAGTCGAGACATCGTAAAGATCGTGAGTCTGAACTTCATTCAGCCTTGATTTTAAATCCATCAGTTTGTTTACTTTGACCCTTTTTGTTTACCTCTGTCCTCAGCGTACGTCGGGCTGAAGAAAGGCTACTTGTTTATGTACAACCTCGTCCAATTCCTGGGCTTCTCCTGGATCTTTGTCAACATGACCGTTCGGCTCTTTATTCTTGGTCAAGGTTGGTTCAGAAAAGGTTTCATCACTGAACTGTTAATACAAGTTGAATTTGGACGGCTGACATTTGCTGAAAGCAGGAAAATAAAAACAGCCGAAATGAGTAGAATAAGCTGAAATAGACTGAGAGGCTGAATGTATCTCAAATCTGAAATTTATACAAAAAAAAGATACTTAAATGAGCAGATGAAGGTAACATTAAGAAAAAAGTAGCTACAAAAGCTACAAAAAATCTGATTAGCAGAAAGGAGCATAAAAATTTGAAACTTTTCAAAAGAAGTCTCAAATAAAAAAAGAATTTAAAATGGTGACTTAAATGGTAGAGATGAGTTAAACTAGAGAAATTATAGTTCCTGCAGAAATGAGTGTGAATGCTTATTGCTGAAGAACTTGCTGAAAGTGGCTAAAAACCATGCTGAATTTTAGCTGTAAAGGAAAAACAAGCCTAAGTTAGCAGAAAGAACATGTATTTGCTGAATTAGCTTTAAATAAGCAGAAATGAGCACAAAAAGTGTAGCTAAAAAAGCTGAAATTAGCAACAGCAACAAAAAAAGCTGAAAAGACAGAAGAAGCTTAAATTATCAGAAGAGAGTGGAGAGAGCACATTCTTATTGCATTAGGCTGAAAAAAGTTGAAATGAGTGCAAAAAATGTGGAATTAGCTAAAAAAAAAAAAGGAAAGCTAAAATTAGGGTAAAACAGCAAAATCTTAACTGAAATAGCAGAAAAAGTTTAAACTTGCATAAATTGAAAGGAGCATAAGAAGCTGAAGTTAGCAGAAAGAAGTTAGAAGAAGCAAAAAAAGTTGTAGTTAGCAGAAAGAACCTTAAAGAAGCACAAAAGAGCTGAAAGTAGCTGAAAAAAGTTTAAATTTGCACAAGGAAGCTGAAAGATGCTGAAGCCGAACAAAATGTGGAAGGAGCAGTAAAAGGTTGTGAACAGATGTAAAGATGTGAAGGATGTAAAATGAGGAAAAAAGTGACAGAAAAGGCTAAATATTTCAAAAAACTAAAGTTGCACCAATCCCAAAAGTCACAGCAGGATTGTCCTGAAAGAGCCGAATGTTTTGAGTTATGATTTGACACAACACAAATTGTGGAACAAGATGGATGCTGAAAAACATACAGAAGAAAACTGGATCACAACATAAACATTCACAGTTTGAGCAGAAAGGAGCATAAAACGTTGAATTAGCAGAAGAAGCTGAAAAAGGCAGCACTAGGAGGAACATAAGCTGAAATGAGCAGTAAACCGTTTCAAATGGTTTGAAGGCTGTTTTGAAAAAGCTAAATATTAAAGTAATTCTTGCACACATACCCAAGTCAGCAGGAACGAGCTGAAGGTTTTGATACATGCACTGTTGAAACAGAACCACGTGTGCAACGAGTTGTTCTGACAAACACGCAGAAGACAGAAAGATCTGAACAGTGTGGGAGATTTACAAACATTCAGTCACAAATGGTTTTATGACTGCTTTAGCTGCTACTTTAGCTGCTGCTCTCCTTTAGTTCAGCTGGTATCAGTTTCATCTTAACTGAGCCAGAAGCTGGAACTGACCCTGAACTCGGTAACGCAGCATGTTTGACGGGACAAATGACGTTTTATGCAACAAAGTCCGTGCTACATTTTATGCAGTTTAATTGATTTCAAGCCTTTTTTAGTGGAGCACAAACACTGAAGGTAGATGAACCGTCATGGCGTCACGGAGCGGTAAAATAAAAACAAATTCTGTTTTTGTGTTTGAATAGAAACGTGAAGACGGCTAGTACACACAGCAGGGATTTGGTTTGCAAATGTTTGTGGCTGCAGACAGTAACTCGTGTTCTTGTTTGTGTGTGGACAGACTCGTTCTACGACACGTTCCACACCACCGCTGACATGATGTACTTCTGCCAGATGCTGGCCGTGCTCGAGGTCATTAACCCCCTGCTGGGTCTGGTCAAGACGGGCTTCTTTCCTGCACTGATACAGGTAATCACACAAGACGCTTCTTATCTGACCCTGACAACTCAGATCAAACCTCTTTTTTAAACATTTCCACCTTTCCTGAGACATCTTGCACCTCGAGTTAAAAGCCCAGGTGCAGCTGATGAGAAGCGAGCCCACGGTGTGATGGTCGTGTTTTGGTTTTTTTCTTTCTTTTCCTTAGATGGCCTCCCTTCTCCCCTTACAGCCATCCTCTCCACACCATTATTATGAAATATTTATTATAGTGACTATCTAGTGTAGGTTTTTTTTTTTTTTTTTTTTTTAATAGGATAGAAAGAAAGAAAAGACAAAGTAAGACTCCAAAATATAAGAAATATACACAAAGAGAGCACACGTCAAAACACCCGGCCACTGTTTGTTCACCTGCAAAGAACATGACAAAACACAGCAACAAAATACATATGTATAAAGAACTTAAAATATTCATGGCATGATGGTCATGTTTTGCTGTGGGTGTGGGGTTGTTCTGGTGTTTTGCACCAAACTTTTCTACTTTCTGTCTCTTCATCAGCTGTGGAGTTATTTCCACTTTCGTATCTTCATAAATTCACTTCGACTGTCTTCCCTGCTCCACTGGCAGGACCACCTGAACCTGCTGGTGGACCCCTGGGGCCGAGCGGTCTTCTAGTCCCTCCCTCAGCCTTTCCTTAACAAAACACATATTTTAAAGCATAAATAACATACCACTTTATTTATAAAGCATTTAAAACAGAAACAAGGCCAAAACCTGTCAGTTCTGTCAAATGATGTCAAAAGAATCAACATAAACCATTGAATTGATCAATAACCTCTATTGATCACGGTACATTTACGTCACAGTATGGTTTCAAGTAGGGCTGCAACTAACGATTATTTCAATAAACGATTAATCAGCCGATTATTATTTTTTTCAGATTAATCGATGAATCGAGAAAAAAAAAACGTTTGAATTTCCACCCCTTTATTCCAAAATTGAACATTTGACTGACATAGAAATTTGCACAAAAAACAGGTTGCTATTTGACTATTCTGTTAGTAAAATATTGAATAATAAAAAATAAGTTAGTCAAATAGCTTAAAAAATATATATGTACACAAAAATATATACAAATGTATCTTTATACCTGCACAATATGTAGCTACTTTGTAAAATGTGTCATTGAGGGAAGAGTGTAACCTGGATTAAAAGTGTGGATTATTGTAACCTGGATTAAAAGTGTGGATTATTGTAGTGTAGCCTTGGTCTTCAACCATCAACAGAGGCCTTGTGTCAGCGACGATCATTTAAGGATGTTTCAGTGAAGACAGCTGCTGCTGTGGTGTCCATGATGTCTGTCCATCATGCAGGATGTTGTTGTTTGTTGTTATTTTCTGGAATGAGAGAGTAAATATAAATATGTATTATAACATAATTTACAGCAACTCAAGAAATGCCTTGTTTCACTTACAGCGTTAGGTTCAGGCAAAAGTAGCTAAAAGAGCAATTAAACACACACACACACACATATATAATACTTAATTACACACATTTGAGTAGATGTAATAAATTACTTTAATTCCTGTTTAAATGCAATTCATCCTGCCATACCTGGATTGTCTTCAGACTTTGCCAGCAAATTAAAAGTTGAAGATTAATCATTAAATTATTATCTTTGTGTTAGATTTATTTATAAATCACATTTAAACACTGCTTGTACCAATTAAATTAAATAAAAAGTAACACACGTTCTCTATCACAGTCATTAATCAGCAAACAAACAAACAAACAAACAAACAGCTTCAGCTACAGACAGACTGACGTTACGTTTTCTCTCTTGAAACAGAACAAAGTGTTAAATTGTAGAGACTCACCTGCAACACATGAAGAGTTGTATCAGCTGCAGCTTCTTCCTCCTCCTCGTGACTCCGACATGTTTACGTTTCATCTCCGTGGTTCTCCCGTGTCGTCACTTTTCAAAGCTGCATGTTTCTCAGTTTTTATCTTTGTGAAGAGCTCCCACACTTTGGAGGACTTGGGTCAAACAGTTTTCTCTGCGTCGGTCATTTGTAAAATTTACTTATTTTCCTTTGAAAACAGCCTCTGCTCTGCTTCCTCCTGTGTTCGGAAGGTTGCTGGTTCAACAATCCGCACTGAAAACATCAAAATGTGGCTGTGAAAGGTGACGGACACACCTACACCTGCCCCCACCTTCATTTCAGCTCAGATCCCCCCTCCCCAAACGCTGTAGGCCCCTGGGCTTCAGCCTAGGTAAGCACATGCATTAAGGAGGCCCAGTCCACTGGTCATGTCATTCCCTGATCTGTTCTGGAAGCACGATCCGTAGTGTACTTCTGGGTCGCACGGATCGCTGTTCATGAATAAGAACTCTCTTAATTTACTTAAAGTACGTGCTCTATCTCCACCGATCTTCGTGTAGATAATTTACGCCACTCGTATTTCCGTGACAAATCATTGGTTAAGATGATATGCGGCGCATTAGACGTGACCCCCAGCCTGGGCTGACTGAGAAAACCCTGCAAGACACAGAATGAATTGTTTCCATGGTGAAACAGCGCCGCTCAGTGGTGAAGCTGCATATCATTTTAACTATAACGTAAATGTCAGTGATTTTAACGGAAACACGAGTGGTGTAAATTAGCAACATGAAAATTGGCGGAAAGAGAGCACATACTTTTCTAAGTAAATGAAGACAGTTCTTATTCATAAACAGAATTATACCAGTACATTTTCCTGAATTTAGCATATTCAACGGCGAATCCGTGCGACCCAGAATTATTCCTTTTAGCGCATGCACAAATGAGCTACACTATGGATCGTGCTTCCATAACAGATGGAGGAATGACAGGTCATTTAATACCGGGACACGTTTTCTAACCTCATCCTGTCTGAGTCCTTTTAACAGCGAGAGCTTCCTGTCACCTGACGAGGATCAAACAACGTGAGGAAACCTCTGCTGGGACAGATCTGTGCTTCATCAGAGTCACTTTTAATGTTCAGGCTGCTGTTTAATACAACACATTATTATTGTTTAGTGTATATCAGATCCTTTTACAGTTGTCCCTCGCTACTGCGCGGTTCATTAATTATAGAATTGCTCCATCGTGGTTTTTCAAAATAAGATTGGACATGACACACACTTGGCTGATTCATGGATGAGTATGGGTCAAATGATCGGCATGGAATTTTATTTAAAATAAATCATTTAGCACCTGCTGCACCTTTGTGCAGCCCTGACTGCAGGATAAACTTCCTGCTGCAGCTGATCAGCTGTTCAGCGTGCAGAGCAGAGAAGTGGGCGTGGCCCTAAAGTCAAAGTTGCGTGTTTAAAATGTTCTTATTGCAGATTGCTTCGTGTTTTCTCAGCAGCAGGTTTTACTCAGTCAGAAGTCGCTCCAGCATGTTGTAAAATTATAAAAGGTTTAGTGCTGGTGTCGTGAAGGACACGGCACTTCTTCTCATGTTGGAAGAAACTTGTTGTGAAGCTTCAAGAGTCGAGGAAGAAGCCGAGTTCCTTCAGCCTTCATGGAAACAGGCTCTGAGCTGTGCTTCTCCTCACGTTGTCTCACTGACTGGTCCTGC